CACACACACACACACACACACACACACACACACACACACACACACACACACAATGTCCTTTAAAAATTTTTTAATGTGGGGGAAGGCTGGAGATGATGAAGCACTGAGTGCTTCTGCTCTTGATAGGACCATTCCCAGCTGCCCAAAACTTCGCCTCCACATTTCCCAACTGTTGGCAATTGCACACACATGCACATACGTAATGTGGAAAGGAAATTCAAAAATATTAAATAGTATCGGCCAGGAGAAACCAACCACGCAAACTCACTGAAGTGCAAATGAGACATGATCATTCGTGATCCCACATGACACAGGTCAGGGCACATGCACTCTTCCAAAGCCCAGCCCGCCCTCTGCTCCCGCACTGCCTACCTCACTCAGTAGATCCTATCTTAGCCAAATACTCCAGTCCAAACTTCACACTGAGTCACCTGAGGCTTCTAGCAAAGTATTTCATCTTTAATAGTAATTTTTGTTTTTGAAATTAGGTGTGTCCGTGTGGGCATGAGCAAGCTGAGTTGTAGATGTCAGATGAGGGCACAGAATCCCCCTGAAGTTGGAGTTGTAGGCAGTTGTGAATAGCATGACTTGGGTCCTCTTCCACAGCTCATCACTAGGCCAGACCCGTCCCATCTTCAGCTCACTACATTAATGGCAGCAATCACTTAACGTGCAATATGTAGCCGAGCACTGCTGAAGAATTCCATAAAGATTCAACCAAGCCTTTGAAGGGAGGCACTGGAGGTAACTATGGCACAAATAGTCTACCACAGATGAAAAGGACATCTAGCACTCACCTTTTTTCTCTCTTTTCTTTGAGAGAGGGTCTATGCAGCACTGGTTGTCCTGGAACTTGCTTGTCAACGAGGCTGGACTTGAACACACAACTTTTTCAATTTTTCAATAGTAACCTACACAGGTACAATCACACATTTTTGTCCTCTTGGTTTCTAAGCCATCTCTGAAAACTACAAATCCCTGGCCACATTAACTATGAAGACACCTGCTTGTTTTCCTCTGGACAAATGTGAAAGCTGGCTATTGCCAACAGAGCAATGGAGACCACCTTTCCTCCAAATACACTTGCCCCAGACATCTTCCCAGCCTCTCTTCTAACATAAGCTCAAAAGAGAATCCCAAAATTCTTACCAGGGAAATGGCTTATTTAAGTTTTGTTCGTAAAATTATTTAGAAATGCGACAAGTGAGATGGCTCAACAGGTAAAGGCATTTGCCACCAAGCTGGACGGCTTAAGTTGGATGCCTAGGACCCTCACAGTGGAATAAAACTGATCCATGCAAGTTGTCCTCTGACTACATGGTGAGAAGCACTGCACCTCGTATGTGCTGCTGGTCAGAGATTCTGCTCCTGTACTGTACTCACAGACCTAAAGGGAGACACAAACATGGGCTTTTCCCAAGCTTCTGATCCACTGCTGTAACACTATGGGAAGTCAAAATTTGATCTCTCCTAAGTATTTTATGTGCAAAGTTTTATTTTCAACACACACTATGTAAAATATGGAAATGACTGATACCAACACAGCAATCCCACAGATACACAGTTACACTGGTGGTTTCTAAAGTGGCTGATAGGCTCAGAATCCTTCAGAAACTTGTTAGCAAAGCATATACTCAGGACCCATCCAAGACTTAGTGAGTCACAAGATGGAGGACAGTGAAGCCCAGCACTGTCTACTAACCTACACTGAATATTAGGAAGGAGAGAATTAAGTTAAAAAGACCACACACACCCCCCCACATATATGGTCTACGAGTTGCTCTGGACTACAATTAACTTTGCATGACAGAGCCGGGTATGGCAGCGCATACTTGTAATCCTAGCACTCAGGAAGGCAGAGGGAGGTGGATCTCTGTGAGTTCGAGGCCAGCCACGTCTACAAAGTAAGACCAGGACAGCCAGGGCTACACAGAGAAACCCTGCTTAAAGAAAAGAAAACAAAACACAACAAACAAAACCCAGAAATCACACAGGTCTAGAAAACAGCTCTGTAGACAGAACATTCACCAGGCCCTGGGTTTAAACCCAGCACCACAAAAATCATGACCAGGAATTAATGTAAAACTCAAGAGACCAAATTTCATTGTGCTATCTGATATTGAAAGAACACCTTAAATTTTCAAGATATACATAGCTAAGCAGGGTGAGTAAAGGGGACAGAGATTTCATATTTTGAAAAACAAGGAATCACTTATGCATTTACACATACAATCACGGTTATGCCATCAAACAGTAAGAAAAGATACATGTAATGTAACCACATGAATGCACCTCAGTTTCAAAGGTTCTGAGATTAGCAGATGTAGATGCCAACATGTTAACATCTGATATATAGGGGGTGGGCAGCAAGATGGCTCAGCATATAAAGGAGCTTGTCATCAAGTCTAAGGACCTTAGTTTGGTCTTCTGGAACCCATATGGTGGAGGTAAAGAACTGAATCCCACGAGATTCCCCTCTCCTGGGGCACACTGGCATGCACACAACACAAAATGTAAAAAGCCCCTAGAGCTGGGAGCTAGCTGTCAATAAAGTCTTTGCCTTGTAAACAAAGGCCCTAGAGCCCATTCCCAAAAACCATGCTTGGAGAAAAAAAAAAAAAAAGCGCCAAGTGCCGTGCTGTACACTTGCAGTCCCAGCCTTGGTGGAGACAGACAGGCAGATCCCTGGCCGTGCTGTCAGCCAGGCTTCATTCCAGGCCAGGGAGAGGCAGGCAGAGGCTGGGCTCTGGCTTCCATAGACATGCAATCTGCATACAATCCACACCACCCCCACCCACAAGTTAATATTCTGTACCCACGACCCCTGGAGAAAAGAAAGTGACTGCTGACCAGTGGGAAAAATGAAACACTCTGCATGGGAAATGGTGCCCATGCAACTAAACTTAAAATTCAATGAAATTCCTAAGTTCAAATATCTTGCAAAATATTAGAAATCTAGATTGAGGCCATATGCAACATAGTAAAATAAAGTTAAAAGATTTAAGAATATGCCGTCATTTTAAATTTTAATAAAATAGATAATTTCATTACACAGAGTGCCAAGTCCGTCCACTCATTGTTAAAAGTTTTAGAAATATCTTCTATAAAAGCTTAGTATTTGATTGGGAATTAATCGACTATAACATTTCTACAAGTACAGAGTTCCCACCTTTACCGCCATTCTTATTTTGAAAAATACAGAAAAAGTACAAAAAATAGGACATGATATCCATTATAACACAACTGAAAATTAGCCAGTATCTTATATAGTTACTTGCAGTTTTTAAGAGAATGAATGCTTATAAAAAGCTGAAGCCCTCCCCAGCCCCTCCCACGCTCACCCTCCTCCCTCCTCACTTACGCTGGCGTTGGTCTGCACCCTTCTGATGCATCGCAGACATTTACAGACATGTGTGTATCTATACCATAATACGCTGAGTTTCAAGAAGGAACATTTCGCCTGGCAGAAAGTCACTGTACTGTGTGCATCATTCTGAAACTCTGCCCACGTTACGTCCAGACCCCGTCCAGTTACGCACACTTCATCTGCTGCAGCTGCCAGGTGTCTGCACAGCAGTCCACCTAAAATTTTCTCTTCCCTTCCTAACAGGCAATTCAGTTCTGGTATTTGGCTACTCTAAATTAAGACATGGTACATTTCCTGGTACTAACCTCCTGAGCATAAATGCTCATGAGCAGTTTTAAGTATTTTTAAATATTACAAGGAATGTTTTCCCACCCAGTGTCAACCTTGCACAATGTGGAGCGTCTGTAGCTCTGCTTTCATATCCATATAGTTTACTTTTAGTCTTGTTTACAGTCCGTGTGTAAGTTTCCTCCTCAGAGAACAGTTTACACCCAAGCATAGTCTTGGTGCTCAGCTGAAGCAATTCTTTTCATACTCTAGATCCTGGGAAATGCATAGTTATCATTCTATAATGTCTGTCCTCTTAAAATCACATAATTTAGCTTTGTTTCTTCTAAACAGCTTACTTATTAGACTGGAGAAGAGCTCCAGATCTATGCTGATAGCAGTAACATGCCTGTTTTCCATTCTCAATTGTAGATTAACTGTTTAAAGTTTCAGCATTGTTTTCTTCTGTTATGGTTGTTGAGTGCAGGCTTTCAATCATACAAACTTCCTTCCCTTCAGTATGAATTCTTCGGTGTTCATGACATTTTATGTTAAATATTGGGCTGATTTATAATTCTTAGCCTCAGAATAGAGATGATGCACTATGGCGTGTAAATCCTTAATGAACACTTGCCCATACTGAAGGTATTCACAGACCGCTTAATGAGTATGGATTTTCTGGTGTCTAATGTGGTGAGACTTCTGGCTGAAAGCCTTTCCACACTCACTACATTGATAAGGCTTTTTACCTGTGTGTATTCTCAAATGCAGGGCCAGGGTTGAGAACTGAGAAAAGGCCTTCCCACATTCATTACAACCATAGGGTTTCTCACCTGTATGGCTCCTCACATGCACTGTTAGAGATGAACTCTGAGAGAAGGCTTTTCCACACACATTGCATTCATAAGGTTTATCACCTGAATGAATTCTCACATGCACAATAAGTGATGTTCGCTGAGAGAAGGCTTTTCCACATTCATTGCATTCATAGGGTTTCTCTCCAGTGTGAATGTTTTGATGCTTTATGAGGTACTTTTTTTGGCCAAACGCTGTTCCACATTCATTACATTTAAAGGGCTTCTCACCAATATGAATTTTCTCATGCTCAGTAAGATTTGATTTGCCACTAAAGGTTTTCCCACACTCCTTACATATGAAGGGCTTCTCTCCTGTGTGAGTTCTCTGATGTCTGATGAGGTTTGACTTCTGAATGAAAGCTTTCCCACAATCTTTGCACTCAAAAGGTTTCTCTCCAGTGTGAATTTTCTGATGGGTAAGCAAGTTTTCCTTCTGGCTAAAGGACTTTCCACAATCATTACACTCAAAAAGCTTCTCTCCAGTGTGAGTGTTCTGATGCTTAATGACATACTGTTTTTGGCTAAAGGCTTTTCCACATTCGTTACATTCAAAAGGCTTCTCTCTATTATGAAAATGCTCATGCTCGGTAAGATTTGATTTGTGGCTGAAGAGTTTCCCACATACTTTACAGGCAAAGGGGCTTCCCCCACTTAAAATTAACTGCTGACTGAGGTGTGACATCTGAATGGAAGCTTTATCACATTCACAAGGCTTATCTCCAATATGAAATTTTTGATGAATGAAGGCTTACTCTTAGCTGAGGATATTTCCACATCTCTTAAAGTTCTAAGGCTTCTGTGTCTAACTTCTCATTCAAATGCAGAGTAAGGGACAAAGAATAAGAAACAAACCTTTCTTCCCAGTGTAAGTTTTACTAACAGTCAATGTTGTTTTTGCAAATTTCACTTCTTTTTCTCCACCATGAATTTTCTGATGTTGAGAGAGCTGTCATCTAGCTAATGGCTTTTCAATATTCCTGAGAAACACGGGGCTTCCTCTCAGCATGACTTCTACGTGCAGTGAGATGGGACACTTAGGCAAACGCTTCCCCGTGTTTGGTAAGTTCACAGGCTTTTCCTCTAGGCTGCTTGCTCCACTAATGAGGCAGTTTTTAAACTGCAGGCATTTCCACACTGGAGTCTACTTATAGAAATTCCTACCAGGAGAGTAGAGTATGTAGAGGATTTCCAAACTGTGTAACGCGGATGATTCTTTCCCATACAACTTTCTGTTTAAATCTAAACTGGGTTTCGAGCTCAAAGCTTGAAGCTTTGAAAAATGTATTGCCTTTTAAAAAGCGAAGTCTCTTCTGAAAAAAGAAAAGAAAAAGTCTGTGAGCAGAGAAAAGATTATTCCAATTTTCTTGCATTCACCACTTCCCTTGGTGGACTCAGCTGACCGCCCAAGCTTGGTGGCACTCTGTACTTGCCACTTCTCAGATGCTTCTGCAACAGATCACAAAGAACTATTTAAAGGAACACGGGTAATGCATAGCAGGCGCTGAGCAAACACCACCCATAGCTTGGTTACCATTAGTTAGCTTTCATAGTACGGAAGTGCAGGTTTCCAAGAGAGGGAAGCAACCCATAATCATAGCCAGCGTAACAACCACCAACATGGGAAGACAGCGGCACTCAGACCTCGGTGCTAACCAACAGCCGTCTAACTGTCGAACTTAAGTAAGGCCTGCTCACCAGGACAGAAATAATGTCTGGTACCGGACACCCAGCCAACTACCTGCTAAGAGGAAACCCTACCCCTGCCGCTCTCCTAAACCAGCCTCATTTCTAACCACACTCTATGCTGATCCTTATATCCATTTAGGTGTGGCTTTCACCCCTCACCAAAAAAGCTTCTCTTTACAATAGACGGAGACCACCACAGAAATGGTCACACACCAACCACAACTGGTCAAAATGCAGACAGAGAACAAATGACTGTGCCCCAATAGACACAACCCTTGCCCCTCATCACGGAAGAGGGGGTGGAAAGACAGTAAGAGACACAGGACCAGGAAAAATGTGAGACTGTGTCTCCTAGAATTGACAGGGAATCTTTCTTTACCTTTGATACTCAACAATATGAGCTCCCAAAACAGCACTTGAGCAAGCAGAACACCAACAGACAATGCTAGCATGGAAGTACTACAGGCAACTAAGGAATGCTGAGAAGAGGAAAATAGTCATCCCCAGGGATAAGCCCTTTCATTGGCTATCCAATTCCAATTAGTCACCCCTGAAATCACATACATACAAGAAACACTAGATGAACTGAGCACATACATACATATAAAAGAGGCCATGAATCTGAGAGGGAGCAGGGGACAGGAAATGGGAGGGCTAAAGAAAGGGGAGAATTATATAATTTATTTTAATTTATACTTACTCCCTTATGGGCAATAAGTTTTCAGATTTTTACTATGTAGCTCACAGACATAATGTTTGTCTAACATTACTGAGGTTCTAAGTTAAACCCTCAGCCACGAAAACAAAACAAAACAAAACAAAACAAAAAACAAAAAAAAAAAAAAAAAACTTGCCAGGTTTGTGCACTCCATAACCCCAGCATTTGGAAGGTGGTGGTGGCAGGATGATAAACCTTTTTTTGCACAGTAAGTCCAAGACTACCCTGAGCCACAAGACACCCAGTCTCAAACAACAAACAAACAAACAAACAAAATACTGCTATGTATGGGGATTGTGCTAACAGAGATTAATTGTGATAGCTCATATCCCAGAATGAAAAAATTCTATGCAATCTATATCTCTAAAATTTGAGAAGAGAACCATTAGAGAGAAAATCCGAGCTTAAAAAAAAAACATATTCATGAGTATATGCTTGAAAAAAATAAGTTTTTTTCTAGTTAAGAAACCAGTAAATTGAATAACATTGAGAAATTATTCAACAAGATAAAATGACTACACAAAAATAACTATCACTCAGCTAACACAAGTTGATAGAGAATAATTTGCAGGAGCTGGTTCTTCTCTGGATGGAACTCAGGTTGTTAGGCTTGGTGGCAAGTGCCTTTACCCAGGATCTATCTCACTTTTCAAAAGCATAAATCATATGGTAGTTGTTCAAAGCATAATGGATTTATCTGAGGAAGCTTATAAAATGTAGTTACCAAGAACATGCAAATGTCAAAAAAAGCAAACTGGTTTGTACTACAAAACAGAAGAAATTGAAGGGACTCAAGTATCTTAAAAAAAAAAAAAATGGAATGAAGGATGGTGAAAGAAAAGATTGTACAAAGAACACTCAAACTCTAAAGGGTCCTGAGAGTGGTGGCACAGGCTTAGAGCCCCACAGCGTAGGAAGGTGGGGTGTGTAGAGGACTGAGCGTTCTAGGTCATCCTGGGTGTGTAAGTAAACTTGAGGTCAGCCAGGGTTACATGCTACTGTTTCCAAAAAGGCAATTAAAAGTGTGAGGAACAGAGCTGAATGGTGGTGCACACCTTTAATCCCAGCACTTGGGGAGGCAGAGGTAGGTGGACCTCTGAGTTCAAGCCCAGCCTGGTCTACAGATTTCTAGAACAGCCAGAGCTACACAGAGAAACCTGTGGGGATGGGGGTGGGTGGGGGGTGGGGTGGGAGTGTGCCGTAAGGACTGAACTGGTAAAAGGCAGACAAAACATTACATTTTAACTGATCAAGAACAGGATCTCGTTACTAAAAATGATAACTTACACTTGCCATTTGCTGGTAGAAGTTTAATGACAAATTCGTAGGATACATCAAGGAAATACAATAGTGGAGGGAAAAAAAACAAAAAGAAAAAAAGGATAAAACTGATTAAAGGAAATAAAGAACAGAAACTATTTTCTCTTCTTTCTTTCTTACTTCCTTTTGTTGTTGCTGTTCTGAGACAGGGTCTTGGCTGTGTAGTTCTGACTGACGCACAATTCTCTACGTAGACCATGGTAGCCTTGAAGTTACATGGATACTTTTGCCTTTGCCTCACACATGCTGGGATTATAGGCATGTGTCATCACAACCAGAAAATGTTTGGAAGGGGAGGGGAGGCAGGTTCTCATGTAGCCGAAGATGAACTCAAACTTGCTATGTAAGGGAGCTGGCTATTATCTCTGGGTCTTTCTGCCCCTGCCTTCTCAAACACAGGTTTGCAACACAATGTGTATCTAGTTTGAAAGGGCCCATTTGGTACTTTGTAGTGTGTTTTATTTTGTGTGCCTGATCCTTTAAAGAACTCTATATCCTTCAGTATCAGTTGGCTCTTAAAATTCTGGGAACAGGAGAGAATATAAAAAGCCAGCAGAGGGCTGGAGAGATGGCTCAGAGGTTAAGAACAATGACTGCTCTTCCAGAGGTCCTGAGTTCAATTCCCAGCAACCACATGGTGTCTCACAACCATCTATAATATCCTCTTGCAGACAGAACATTGTATGCATAATAAATAAACCTTAAAAAAAAAAAAGCCAGCAGAGGTGAGGGATTGACAAGGTCCAGCTGGCAGAATACAGGGTCAGAGAAGACAGCTGGTGCAGGAAGAAAGAAGAGAGACTAGGGCTAGAGAAGAGATTGAGCAGAGTGAAAATAGGACAGAGCTGAAAGTGAATTGAGCCAGCAGAGTAAGAAGAGAAGACAGTTGGCGACAGTTGAACCAGAAGAAGCTAAGCCAGAGAAGATATATATATATTTTTAAAGATTTATTTATTATTTATACAATATTCTGCCTGCATGTATGCCTACATACCAGAAGAGGGCACCAGATCTCATTATAGATGGTTGTGAGCCACCATGTGGTTGCTGGGAATTGAACTCAGGACCTTTGGAAGACCAGCCAGTGCTCCTAATCTCTGAGCCATCTCTCCAGCCCCAGAGAAGATATTTTTAAGAGACAGAAAAACCCATACAAAATAGCAAAAGTAGACAATAAAGAGCAAAAAAAGAAAACCATAAATCTACAGTACTTAACAGTGAATAAGCTCAATTCATTTAGCCTATGATTATGATCTTTTCTAAAAAATTATGTTTTGGGTTTTGCTGACAAAATGTCTCCCAGGTTAGACTTGAACTCCTGATTCTTTGAATCCTATGACATTTATCATGACCACTTATAACATAATCACATCACGTAACTCATGACATAATCAAAATAGAAAGAATAAATATTTTCAGAAAGTAACATGCTATTATTGAATAAACAGAACTCAGAATGACATGAAATGACCAAGAAATATGGGGACTGGTGAGATGGCTCAGTAGGGAAAGGGACCTACAGCCAAGCCTGATGACCTGAGTTTGGTCCCATGAATCTATACAGTGATAGAAGAGAACCAACTTCTTCAAGTTGTCCTCTGACCTCCACACCCATGCTGTGGTGCACATAACTGCACAAAGACACACAAAATCAAGACACCAAAACACAATCACAGAGGGCTGGGCCTACAGCTCAGCAGTGCTGCTCTTGCAAATATTAGACAAGGTATATTCCTGGGGGTAGGTTTTGAGGTTGCAAAGGCCCACACCAGGCCCAGGCTGGTGCACTGTCTGACTTTCTCTCTCTCTGCCGACATCTTGTGGATAGATCTAAGCTCTGAGCTGCTGCTCCAGCGTCACGCCTGTCTGTCTGCAGGAACACTCATAATCCTCACAGACGCACCCTCTGAAACTGTAAGCAAGCCCCCAACTACAAATGCTTTCTTTAATGAGTTGCCTTGGTCATGGTGTCTCTTCATGGCAATGGAAAAGTAACCAAGACAGAAACCATAATCCACACTGGACACGAAAAGCCTGAATCTTGACTAATATAAAAGCACAGGCAGCTGTTAATGTGACTCAGGGGCAGTGTTTGGCCTACCAGCTCTACAGTCAATCCCTAGCGCTATAATAATGACAACAATTCAGTGCAGCAGCTATTTACACTAAATTCTAAATAAACACAAGGATGTCCCCATCTCAGTATTATTTAATCTGAATAATAACACAGTATGCTAAGAATAAAGTACAGTGGTGCAAGCCTGTAACCCTAGCAGGCTGAGGCAGAGGCAGGGGGATCTCTGTGAATTTGAGGCCAGCCTGGTCTACAAAGTGAGTCCTGGAGAGCCAGGACTAAACCAAAAAAAATAAAAGTTAAAAGAAACTAAAAGTCTTCAAATATTCCAGTAACCATTACTTTATTCACTGTAGTAACTTAGAAGAAAAAACAGTTAGGGATAAATATTGCAAGACATTTCTCAAATGTTTAGAGCTTGTATGATCTGGAGCCTAAAAAGTAGGAAGAGTATAAATTCGAAGTCAGCCTGGGCTACACACATATTAGACTGTGTCTCATGTAATGGTGTAACAGTAATAAAGAAAGCCCATGTGAGGACACTTTAAAGGCTGCTGAAATGGCTTGTTATGCACAGCTGACAACCTAGGCGCAGCATCCGGAACTCACCCTCACGGAAGGAGAGCGCCAGTTTTAGAGCCGCGTCCTCTGACCCTCACAGGTGCATCATGGCACCTGTGTACTGAGCTACACACCATGCACACAGTAATATTTCTAAAAATGTAAACACTTAAGACTCCAAATGACATCCGGACAAAGCACATGCTCATGGACAGGAGTGTCTAACATAAAGATCGCTCTCTCTTCTGAACTATTTTATAATTTTAATACAATCTCAATAGCAATTTTTAGAGGGGCATCTCCTCCCCAGAATTAGACAAGCCAATCCTAAACTCTACATGAAAAACAAACAAACAAAAAAACCTAACAGACACCTAAACCTAATCCTAGCTACTCGTGGGTCTGAGGAGGAAAAGCCGGAGTATACCAGCATGCCTGGCTTATTATGTGCATGCTGGGGGTCTACATTAAGGCCCTCATGCTTGAACAGCAGGTACTTTACTGAAATGAACTAGCCATACAGCCCCTCTGTAGTTTCTGTACAAATAAAAATGAACCCACCTTAAGGCCTGAATGTATGTACCCTTGGGTAGGGACTCATCCTCTCCCATTTTCTAGGAATCTTAAATCAGACGATTAACTTTTCTACAAAGGAGTTACTGCATCCCTGCGAGTAAATTTTACTTTATCACTTGTAATTCTGCCAGATGCACCTCAATAAACACCCTATGAGGTTTTTAGCAACCCTTTGAAGACAATACCCAACAAATGTTATATGTGACTACTGTACAGACAATGAAGGGAAACTCTTCTTTGGCAAGTCCACATATGTGCTCTGGAATGTTGCCTTCCTTCCTGAGTGCCCTTTTTCCTCTTAACCCTTCAGATTTTTAAATCTATATTAAAAATATCTCAAGGACCACGGCTTGGTTGGAAGACTGCTTGCCAACATACAGAAAGCCATGGGTTCAATCCCTAGCACCACATAAATTGGCTGTGGTGGCACCACCCCTGTAATTCTGGAGCTCTGGAGGTAGACACAGAAGATCAGCCTGAGCTACTGGTATATAACCAGTTCAAAGCCAGCCTGTGCTAAATGATGCCCTGTCTCAAAACATTTTAATAAACTCCAAATCTGGAGCAGGCAAGATAGCTCATCAAATAAGGGTACTCGGTACCAAGCCTGAAATACTGACCTTAATCTTTTCTACCAATATAGTGGAAAGAGAACCAATTCCTCTGATTTCCATATGCATGATGTGTGCCATGTATCACTCAAGAGTGCACACGCGTTCAAATAAAGAGAGGAAAGGGAGAAATGGAACTAGCATACAATATCAAAAATAACAGAATATGTTCTAAGTTGACGCCAAAGGCTCGGTTATAGCTGAGTCACGGTTCCTGCAGGTGACGCAGAGCAATGGCTCTATTCCTGCATCAGCCGACAACGTGAACACGCTATACGCAGAGGAAGATCCATCGGCCTCTGCCTCCCAAGCGCTGGGATTAAAGGCGGGCACCACCACTGCCATCTTCAGCACCATTTAAAATAGCGGTTTTCTTCAATTTGTCTACCAGCCGGTAGCTTTTCATAAATGTGAAGGCAGCTGACTCGCAAATCTTATTTAGGTGCCCCGTTGCTTAACGTTTACCGTTAAAGGCCGAAGCTGGCCATGTCTTTAATGACCGAAATAGCAGGCAGTAGTTTTTTCCATATGCCACACAATTCAGAGCTGTACTAATGAAGGAGTTATGACTGCTATGATCCACCACCGCAACAGCTAAGTTTTCTTCAAAAAACAAGGAACTTGAGCCAGGGTGATGACCCAGAGTTAGGTAAGGGCGCCTCTTCCAAGCCTTTCAACCTGAATTCAACCCCCAGAGACAGAACCGACTCCAAGCTTGTCCTCAGACCTCCACACGGGCGCTGTGGTAAGCATGTCCAAGCAAATAAATGTAAATAAAATAATAATAATAATAATAATAATTCAACGAGGTACTGTGCCCAACCCAAATCTACATTAGGCTCCCTGATCCGGGGTTTTCCGTGGGACGTTGCTCCTCAAATGAAACGCGACTTTGCCTGGCAGCTCTATTATAAAGTACCTCAAAAATAAAAAGCGGAGTCTGAGGCAGGCACCCCCGGAACAAACAAACAAACAAACAAAACCAACTGTTTCTTAACTAAGAAATGTCAGAGTCATCTGTGTTCTACCCCCATTCACAAACGACCGCGTTCTGGTACAAACAAACACGTTTTATTAAGGTCCACCACGCAAACCGCGGACTTCAACTGCCTGCCCTCTCAGACTCGACACCGACACAGCCGGCTTCCGAGCGGTTCGTCCTCAGCCTCCCCGCACCCCGTCTCCGGCCTCCAAACCAGACGGACGCCCTCCGGGAAGATGGCCCCGTCACAATTCATCAGCACTTTCGACACGGGGCCTACCGCGCAGACGCGGCGCCTCGGCCGTGGCCTCCTCCTCCGCGGAGCACAGCCGCCCCTGACCCACCCACGCCCAGCCTCACACCGGTCCGACGACTCCTCACAACGGGGCCGGGCTCTGCGGTGCAACGCGGCCTCGGCCGCTCCAGGGCACCCCGGAGCCCCCGCCCCTCACCAAGGCCCGACGCTCCTAAGCCCCCTCCCCCGGGCCCCGCGCCGCGCCACCAAAGACGGGAACCGCTCCCCTCCGACCCTCCCGGCCCCACCGACCCGGGACGCCCAGATCCCACCTCCTACTTCGGCGCCACGTGGACCCAGAGGCCGCGCTGACCCGCGGACAAAGACCAAAATGTCCACTCACTGCCCTGCGTCTGCGCAATCAGGCGGCGAGCGAGCACTCCCAGAAGTCCCCGCGACGCTCCCGGGCTCCTTCAGGCTATCTCTCCGCAACGCCGCTTTGGCGGCCGTGGACTACATTTCCCACAAGGCACTGCGGGCCGTTTCCCTTCCTTCCACGCGCAGACTCTTGATTAGGGGTTTCTTTGGGGAGGCTGTCGTCACTCGGACCCAAATAAGCTCTCATGGTGGGATGTTTGGAGTGTGGACTTACTCTTTTGATAATCCGCTGGCGCCGTCTCAACAAATAGCCCGAACTCAGACTCCAACGTAAGAGGACGCCATCTTGACTACAGCTGGTGTGGCTCTGAACTACGCTTCCCAGAGTCCATAGCGAGCTGACATTGCATCCCAACTTGGTGAAATCTTTAGCCTTTGCAGAGTGGGATGCGCGCGCGTTCTGCGGAGGCCGAAGGCGAGGGGTCTGGGAGTCCTGGGCGGGGACTGGGCGTGTCCCTTGCCTTGGGGCTGTGCTTGTAGGAGCGAGAGGGATGGGGCTGCGGGATTCTAAATATGATTTTTATTGCGACTGTGGGACTGGTTGAGTGCTTGTAAAGTGTGCTGTTGTGATCACCCGTTTCCAACGTGTATATCTGGTGGTTGCTGTGCAGGTGTAATGTGATGTGTGTTGTGGTTCCGGGATGTTGTGATTGTGAAAGCGATTTCTTTCGGTAGCCTTTATCCCTGGGGGTGTGCCTATAGTTCTGTTTGTGTCTCTGGGTTCGGTGACCTTGCGTAGTACTGTGTGCGGCGTTCTGTGTCCGTGACTCTGCATCGGCGCTGCGTGGGTATCCTTGCTGTGTTCCTCGGGGGGAAGGGGAGGGGCGGGAAAGTGCTTTGTGACAGTGTGTGACGCTGTGTGCGCGCGGGTGTGGACCATCTTTGCTCATGAGTGAATGTTCAGTTACGGTTGGATGATGCAGAGGACTGTGCTCCTCCGTGTGTGAGTGTGACTGTGTAGGGGGTCCTGTAGGGGTGTTAGTAATGGACCCGGGAAGTGACAGGATAGCTGATTGTTGCCTGTGTCCTTGTGGGTCTCAGGAGTGGCTGAATGAAGCTAAACGCCGGTGTACACAGCCCTGTAATCCCACCATTTAGTCTCCTGAGGCAGGAGGATCTCAAAATCAAGGCCAGCCGGAGATACGTTGCAAAACTGTGTCTAAAAAAAAAAAAAGAAAGGTGGCTGGTTGCTGGAGAGATGCCTAAGGGTGTAAAGTTTTTGTGGCACAAGCATGAGGCTCTGAGCTTGGATCTCCAAAGTCAGTTGTCGTGGTGTGTTTGTGTAGGATCCGGAGACAGTCTCCAAAAGCTCTCAGGTAAACTAGCCTGGAGTATGTCGCAGTGATTCGACCACAAAGTCAAGAGCTAGCACCAGCGTTCAAGTCTTCATGTGCCTGAATATGTGCACACACACAAAGATAAGTACATGTTTTTCGGGCTGGAGAGATGGCTCAGACGTTAAGAACACTGTCTGCTCTTCCCCAGGTCCTGAGTTCAATTCCCAGCAACCACATGGTGGCTCACAACCATCTATCATGAGATCTGTTGCCCTCTTCTGGTGTGGAGGTGTACATGCAGGCAGAACATTGTATACATAATAAATCTTTAAAATCTATATCCACTCCTAAAAAGGGGAAAGTGTTGGTGTGCAGTTTCGACATTAATGTCTTGCAGTAGCCAAGTGTGTCAATGATGTGGCTCTACTGTGAAGAGCCTGTGAAGTTTGAGCAGATTCTGGCCCTGGACAGCAGTGACCTCAGCTTTACAAGGTGACACTGAGCTTAGACGGAACACTAACCTGCTCTGACTTCTGTCCCCTGTATAGTAGCCTAGAGAGACAGCTATTCATAACTGCCCTGGTCACGCATGATTCTTTTCTTCTATCCCTTTTCTAAAACGGTGATGATGAGCTGGGTCTATAGCTCAGTGGTTGGCTATTGAACATCCAAAAGGCAGTTCAAAGTTCATCAGGTTTTTTGTTTGGTTTTGTTTTGGGGGTTTTTGAGACAGGGTTTCTCTGTGTAGCCTGGCTGTCCTGGAACTAGTTCTGTAGATAAGGCTGGCCTCAAACTTACAGAGATTGCTTTCCTCTGCCTCTGGAATGCTGGGATCAAAGGTGCGCACCACCACTGCCCAGCTCCGCAAAACTCTCGCTTCTGTGAGCATGCTTCTAACAGAATCACCTCACCACCCCCAAAAAACTTCCAGTATTTATCCCAAGAGTGCAAGCTGGGTGTTCTGAAGAGATCTTGAAAGGCTCTTTTGCATCCCTATGTGTGTTAAATTTTTTAGAAATGAAAATGTTACAAAATAGGATCTCCTTTTTCTTTCTTTCTTTTTTTTTTGGGGGGGTGGTTTTGTTTCTTTGTTCTGTTTGTGTGGAACTCTGCTGGATGAGGCTGACGTGTGACATTGGTGTTTTGGCTGCATGTATGTCTGTATGAGGGTGTTTGGTCCCCCGGAACTGGAGTTACAATTTTGAGCTGCGTGTGGGTTCTGGGACTCAAACCCAGATTTTCTGGAAGAGCAGCCAGTGATTTGAAGTGCTAAGGCGTCTCTCCAGCCACCAGAGTGTGAAGTTTAAACAGTCTTATCATGCCTCATTTCTTTTCCCATAAACAGGACTTGTCATTTCTAAGCCAGATGTCATCTTCTTATTGGAGCAAGGGAAAGAAACATGGATGGTTACAAATTATATGACAAGACCTTGGCATCCAGGTGGGTAAGACCTGGTCTGGCTGGAGAGGTCAGAGGGTTAACAGTACAGTGTTGATAGCTGTGACCTGAATGACTGTCCAGAAGCTCTCATGTAGTGACAATTTTGGAAGTTGGTTTCTTAAAAAAAAACAAACACACACACACACAGAAATAGGGCTGGAGAGATGGCTCAGAGGTTAAGAACGCTGGCTGTTTTTCCAAAGGTCCTGAGTTCAAGTTCCAGCAACCACATGGTGGCCCACAACCATCTATCATGAGATCTGGTGCTCTCTTCTGGTGTGTGGGTGTACATGCAGACAGAACACTCTATACATAATAAATAAATAAATAATCTATAAAAACACACACAGAAATATTATAAGAATATGTTTTGGTTTTAATCCCAGGTGTGGGGATATGGGACATAGCTGACTGGTTTGCCTGGTGCTCTGCAGGAGAGTAACTCTGCCAGCTGCAGATAGCTTCTGAGATTGGGTGACACGGGAATGCTGGGGACTTTCACGAGTATAAATGCTAGGGCTCGGAGAGGTGCGTCGGTGGTTGGTGGTCCTTCAGGGCGTTGGTTGCCTTTTGTTAGTAGTCTTGCTCAAAGAAGAAACAAGAAAAAGAAATTAGATTCAGAGATCTCTCTCTCTCTCTTTCTCTCTCCTCTCTCTCTATCTTTCTCTCCTATCTTGTGATGGAGGTGAAATCGGGGAGGATAAAGGGTGGAAAAAAGACCTGCAAAGTAGCAAAAGCCCAGGCCCAGCTCCTCTACTGCCCGATCTGGCCTCGCAGACACATTTGCCGTATTTGTGCTTTCTAGCAGCTGCTCAGTATTTGAGACATATTAAGCCATCAGGATTTTTATGATGAAAGTTGTCACTTTATTTCCATATTTTCTCTGGTGTTTTTATCTCTCATGGTGAAAACAACTTGTACTTGTTTCCCCTAGTTTTCAGACTTGGAGTCAAAGTACAACAGAGTTCCACAGAAAGGCCTTTTGAAACAGTCGTTCAGACGGGAGTGGTGAGACGCTGCTTTCCACACCAGGACTGTGAGGATAGCTGGGAGTGCAGAGACCGGCTTGAGAGACAGCGAGCAAGCCGGGGGTGTCGTTTCCAGCGTGTGGGAATCACCGGGGAAGGCATGCCTACTTTCGGTGTCACCCGTCTGTCACCCTGCTACAGCAGAGCAACACAACTGTTGACACACTGACTGAATGTAGTGACGGCTGTGGCTCACGCTGGTGAGAAGCCCTCTGAACGGAAGGCCTGTGGGAAGGCCTTTAGTCGCAGTTCATACCTCACTCAACGTCAGAGAATCCGCACAGGTGGCAGGCCTTATGGCTGTAAGGAGGGTGGGAAGGCCTTTATTCGTGCTCCCCAGTGGACTCATCATCAGAGCATTCATACCTAGGAGAAACCCTACAGATGTAGGGAGTGTGGAACGGCTTATAGTTGAAGCTCACAACTTACTGAACATGAGAGAATTCACCCCGGTATTGAGCCATACGAACGTAAAGAATGTGGGCAGGCCTTCATCCACGGCTCACAGCTCATTGACCACTACCACCTCCACACTGACTGGAGTTCTCAACATCAGTAGACAGGCCTTTAATCGAAGGTCGCATCTGGCCAGAGTTACGTCGCCCCCAATGTAACTAATGCTGGGAAAACTTCATTCGTCTCTGCTGTTACGGGATATCAGAAAACTCGATGCCAGCAAAAAGGTCCAATGAGTGCAGGATTCCTTTGGCTTCATTCTCTGGTTACCAGGCGTCAGCAAACCTGTGCTAAAAATAACTTCATATGAACGTAGAAAAGGCTTTTGTTACCTATCAAAATATGTTCAACTCCTGAGGATCCCAAGTAGACAGTGAACCAATTAAAAGTGACTGGTTTGGTGTACTGAGGAACCGAGGTCCTTTAGGAGGGTGTGGCATAGACCTTGAGGTTCTTCCTCCGCTGGTTACCGAATGTCACTGAACGTACTATGCAGTTTTGTCCCTCCTTGTCTCCTACTTCTTTTTATTTTGTTTTCAAGACAGAATTTAATGTAACCTCGGCTGATCTCAACATTATTACATGGCTGAAGATGGCTTTGATCTCCCGAGCCTCCCAAATTCTGAGATACAGGCTTGCACCACTATGCCCAACTCATTTCTTTTTAGACTCTTTCATTTTGGGTTTCTTATGCCTCTTCTTCCCTTCTGCACCCCAATCCCTTCCAACATCTCAACGCCGGGTAGGAGGGAAAAAAGGTTGGTAGGGAGCAGGGCAGAGTTCTCTTAGGCTGCTTCCTGCTGGTTAGGGTTGTCGGGGCTAACCAGTCCAGTCTTCATTGCAGGATAACTCCAGTTTCTCATCCAGCTGCACCCACAGCAACCAGGAGCAGCTGGGCTGAGGTGTGCCGGGGAAGCGCCAGCAGCCGCCTTCTCCCTCAGAGCCCGCTCAACACTCTGGGCCCTGGCATTTATTCCCTCTCCAGAGTCCTCAGTTAAAGCATCTGCAGCCGCAAAGAGCCCTTTTCAGAGCCCGTATGAGGCAAATAGTCTGCTGCTGTGGACCACATCCCACACCTGGGACCAAAACAAAACACGTTTACATCCACAAAGCTTAGGAAGCTGTAGAAGACTTCCCTGTTGGAAGTTAACATGTATCTCCACCCCTGGTGTCTTCGGCAGTTGGCAGTTACGCTTTAGACACTCACCCGGATGACGAGGCACACACCTTCAATCCTAGCACCCTGAAGGCAGAAGCAATGGGTCCAGGCCAGCCACGGCTACGAACTGTGACCCTGACTCTACCAGGGAGGAGGAACTGGAGGGGTGGGCGCTTGTTGCAGCCGGGTGTGGTGGTGCGCTCCTGTAATCCAGCACTCAGGGAGGCAGAGGCCATCCTGATCAGTAAAGTGGGTTCAGGACAGCCAGGGCTACACAGAGAAATCCTGTTGGAAGATCCAACGCCCCCTTCTGGCCTCTGCAGGCACCAGCAAGTACTTGGTGCGCATAAATTACGTAGACATCTTTTTTTTTTTTAGTTTTTTTTTTTTTAAATTTTTAATAAAATATTATCTTAAAATCCATAATGAACTTGGAAGGCCCTTTATGCTTACTTTGGGCCTTGGAAAATGGAAGAAGACAGGTTCTCACGAAGCCCAGGCTGGCCTCAAAATGGCTCTATAGTCAGGGATAAAGTTGAACTCCTAGTTGAACTTCTGACCCCACCTCCCAAGTGCTGAGATTACAGGTGTTTGCCACAGTTTTAAACACATTTATAAGGCCTAAAATTCAGGGACCCCAAAAGAGAAGAAGGGTAAGGGATACACAGACCAGAGCCTCTGTCCTTTCAGGGTCTGCCATCTTCCTTTTGTTGTTTTTTAAGACAGGGTTTCTCTGTGTAGCCCTGGCTGTCCTAGAACTCGCTTTATAGACCAGGCTGGCCTCAAGCTCAGAGATCCTCCTGCCTCTGCCTCCAGAGTTCAGGGACTAGAGGCGTGGGCCACCATGCCCAGCTGTCTGTCATCTCCCTAAGCCTTTAATAAAGTCAGAATCCTGGAGCCTTCAAAGGGTTGTTTACTTACATATTGTTTAACTATTGACACAAGTGACTCCATCATCTCCAAGGAGGACCCCCACCTCCACTTTCCTAAAAGCCCAAGGGCACTGGGAGGTCTGGATGGCAGACCCTTTCTTTGTGTCTTGGTCTTTCTGGTGACCATCCTCAGCCTGTCTGGGGCCTGCCAGACATCTCATTAGCACATAAGTGACACTGTCAATCATGCTAGTGTTTCAGACTTTTAGGAGCTGTATACTAGGAGGTAGGACCAAGGATGTGTTTTCTGTTACCCAACTGGTACCTTCATTCGAACAGAAATACCAGTGGGTTTTGTTCCACAGCAGGGACTCACAAGACAGTCTTGGCTGTCCTGGAATTTAAGGTCCTCCAGCCTCGGCCTCCAGCAAGGTCTACAGGTGTACACTTACTTGTGGCATAGCTAAAGCACTTTGGTGCACCTGCTTTCTAGCATTCATTTGAGCTTTTGGGGTTTTTTTTGGTGGGGTGTTTGTTTTGGGGGGGAGGTTTTTGCTGGTTGGGTTTTTTTGTTTTATCGGTCTCTTTGGTTGGTTGGTTTTGGTTTGTCAGACAGAGTTTCTCTGTGTGTGGCTCTGGCTGTCCTGGAGCTCACTCTGTAGACCAGGCTGGCCTCAGAGATAACACAGAGATCCAGGCTAACGTTGATTTTTAAATGGCAACTGTAAGCCTGGCATGACTCTAGTTGCAGTAGTCAGCAGGCTGGAAACGTGATGGTTGGAAGTTCCAGACAGGCCTGAACGATGTGGCAAGCTCCTGTCTGGGGGACAAGGTGTTGGGGTAGAGTGGGGTTAAAAAAAGTAAATGCTGAATTATCAGAAAGGAGGAAAAGGTCAGGTTAGAGGGGAAGGTGGATGTTTCATCCACAAGATGGCAGCAGAGTGCTACCAAACAGGTTCCGTGGCCTGGGACGCTGCCTAAGGCCAGATCCTATCCCTGTAGTGATCACAGGCAGTGACCTTTGCTCTTGTTTGCTTGCTTGCTTTCTAATACGAGGACTCACCTAATGGCCTTGCACGCCACATGTAGCCGAGGTTAGCCTTGCACTCCTAATTTTTCCTGCCTCTACCTCCTAAATCCTGGGGTTACAGGCATGAGCTGCCATGCCTGGCTTTGGGGTATTTGTTCGGGTGAATATGTATGTGTGCGGAGGCCAAACGCTGACAGCGGTTCTCCTTGGTTACTCTTTACTGAGTGGGGCTCTCCCTGTAAGGCCAGGGCTCCCCAGTTCTAGCTAGCCAGCGACTAAAACTGCAATGCCGCACCACTTGGCACAAAGCAGTGACCAGGCAGCCTAGGTAATGGCACGTGGGGAATGTTGGAAGGGGAGAATGCCGACCTGTGATTTACTTTGAAATACATCTACAAATAACAGGGGTTGGATAGACACACGGGTGCACCTCTGTGTTGCAGGTACACACGTGTGATATTCGTATGGCGTAGTATGTGTGTCTGCGCAGGGAAAGCGAACTATGAGCAAAAATGTCTCACTCTCTAGCCAGAGGTTTTGGTTTTTGTTTGCGAGGGCTAGAGGTGTGGCTGGGGCACAGCGCTGGCCCAGTATGCGCGAGGCGCTGGGTTTGATTCTGCACAAATTACCCCCCACTCCCACCCACCAAGTGTCTTTCTCTTTAGTAGCTCCCTAGCCTTCCTTTCTTCTCTCTCTCTCTCTCTCTCTCTCTCTCTCTCTCTCT